GAATAAAAATAACTCGAAGCAATATTTAAAGAAAATGTCAATGACATTATATAATAGGATGTTCGAGAAAAAAACAGAATATATATGAGCCAGTCCGCGTAAGCCACGTCCGGAACTGCTCAATCGATGTCGTCCGATTCTGTTCAATTTATGATATGTTGTAGAGGGAAGAGTTCTAAGAATTTCTACGCAAGGCTTTTTAAAAAATATTGAACCGTTCAGTTTTTATAGGCATTTTACGAAAAGGCCTAAAACTTATCACTGTCATCAGGAGGGGTCTTCATGTGACTATATCTCGGAATCGGCTGCATAGAATGAGCTGAAATTTTCTACAGGCATATAACTTTATGATTGCTACTTACCATACAATTTTCGACTCAAAATGTTGAACTGTTAAAATTTCATGAATCCTTTAATATAGGCGAAAATGATTATTTTGACGTAAGTTGGCTCCTATACAATTTTCGAAAGGAATGTCATAGAGGTCTGAAATTTTTAGAATAGATAGCCCGCTCACAGATCTATGTCCTCTAAAAATGTCAGCCGTCTATCTCATTCCGTTTGGTCAGGAGAGGCTCCTCAAAAATAGGTGTTTTCAGGATGGGTTTTCTCCCAAGTTACCGGTCAGCTGAGGAGCTGGTACTTACAAGTTGGTAGTACTCTCCGTGCCCTACAATCCCATAAGAAAATCAGCGTGGGATCTCTATAAATGGGCTGTACATGAAGTCATCTTTGACAGCTATAAATAAGGTAGGCATACCTATTACATGACTTTTGGATTTCGAGTTTCAGCCTTACTTTAACTGTAAAATCTAGGTCACTTTTTACCCTGAACACGATGGTCATATTCTTTTCTCTTTATTGCTAATCTTTTGAGTGTAGACAAAAAGAAATAGTGATATTCAGTGTGATATTTTAATCAAAACCCCATGAATTTTCATTAAAGTGATATCAGATAAGATTACTTGTTACTACTCTTATCGAAGATGTAGTATTTTTTAGCTTCAATATACTTCTAAAAGTATATCTAGGATATAAGTGCTAGTGAATAGATATATGGAGTCACTGTTGCTTATTCTTCTTTAACTTCTTTCATTATAACTTTAGATTAGTTTTCGTTCCCACTGCTTTAATTTCATGGCTAATCTATTTTGGTTAATGAATTGTGTGAGAAAGATATTTATCATATCTCGGTACATCTTTTTTTCTAGTATTCGAAAGATTAGTATATGACATCAAGAATTTATGATGTGGGTATGTTCCAAAAGTACTAGAAGATAGCAATCGAGAAAGAGTATTAGCTACAATAAATCATAATGAGCTTATAAAATATCATTGATATAGTTTTTCAGTTAGACTGTAGAGAGTCTGTATTTTCTTCCATGATTTTGACAATAAGCTGTTGTTTCAGGGTCACGTCGTATTTTTGACTTGCGACATTGATATTTGATTTGATTTTTTGTAGGACACTCATTTGTTTGCAAGCATTTTCGCCCTTGAGTATCTATTATTGTGCGTATCCGTTGCTGGATATTTTCCGCGACAATCCTCGAATTCGTTTTAATAGAATCAAGCCAAATTTCTTCGATGAAGTTCTTCACTTTCTCACTCATTGGTTTAGCCAGTTTCCATGTGCGTAATGTCTAACCACAAGTCGACAAGAATCGATAATGAAAAGATGTTGATGGATCGTACGCAGTAGTATTTTGATGCTGTAGAATAGCTTCAGATTGTGAGCGGGATCGCGTCGATGTTGATCGTAAAATTTTCGTTAAATGAATTCGTGCTATATCATTTGTTGTCCGTGTTTCATCATCTGCAAAAGTATGCAGATCAGTCGCAATGTGTACATCCAGCTCGATGTTTGATTTGAAAGTAGCTGTGCAACCAGTAACAGGACAAAATAATAAATCATAGTATTCACGATCAGCTCTTCTATTTATAAAGAAAAAAGCATGCAGAGGGTATATAAGAAACTTCATACCATTTTGGTATTGCTCCCGATAATTGATCATTTATAGGAACTGTGAAAGGACTTGTTACTCTCATATTGTTTTCAAATTCAATTGCTTTATACTTTATTGAAATACCACTGCCAATATTGGAAGCTTTATAAATTTTCATAGCTTCTTGTTCATAGCCAACACAATGTACTTGTCAGATATTAGACACGTTGGTTTTCCCCAAATGACCTTAGAAGAGTAGAGGGTTTAGAAAGAAAAATAATTTTAGCTAATTATATACATGCCAGCACCTGGTATAATCTCTGCTACCGCTACTTTAGTATTTTTGATTCCACCGGCATGTTTCATCCCTTCTTTTATATCATGAGCATTTAACAAGTTGTTACCCGTGGCAATCCAGGAACGCATACGATCCTTGACGACTCCACAGATTCGGTCACATATATCTTTACCTTTTTGTACTTCGCTATAATCCCTTGTTAATAATTCAATGCCAAGCTGCATAATATAATATATTACTTGTTCAAACAATAATACTCTATTAAAAAACTTACTCTCTGACATATCAATTTGTCAGCTTCAGGAGTTCCATGAGATGAGAAATTTCCTGCGTTGTCTGTACGTTTATGTAACTTCCTTATATGTGCGTAATCAGCTTGAAATAGCTTCAAGATAATCTCACCAGCACTCAAGGTATCGATTTCTGTTTGAGGAGCGTTAGTTAGCGCAAGAACATACGATTCTGTAGAAAAAAATAGAAGATGATGTTGCAGTAGTTGCTGCGGTATTTATGCCATGCAAAGTTGATACAACTTTCCAAACGAATGAGCCAATAAATACGGACATGCCTTTCTTTCCAAAATACTTTTTCTGAGATTCTCGATACTCCTGTGGCAAAATTTTCTGGCCCCAATCGAAGGTACAGAATGCTTCGTCAGTTATCATTTCGGATATAATCTTCATCTTTCCGAAGTCTTGTTGTGCAGCACCAATATTATGACGGGACCATTCGATTATATGTTGCGACGCGTTTTCAAAATCATATTTGAGTTCTGCCTGTAAGTCTGAATCGGAGACTTTTTCGATTTTCTGTTTGATCTCATCCAATGTTCGAACGATATTTATACAATCATAGCACGTAGACGTATGTTCTCGATTACATTTAAAAAAATGTTCGCTACAGTTTGAATCGCTATGAGCGAACGTACTCACGGGGAAACAAGCGGACTTCTGTACTTCCGAAGTACAAAAGTACGGAAAAGTACAGAGAAGTACCCATGAAAAATAATTCGTATAAAAATGCGTTCCAACGCAAACTTTTAGGAAAAAAACGCTATTTTTGCGTTTCAACGCATCCTTTTGTAAGTTCAACGCGTTTAAGCGCATCAATTTTTATTTCTAACGCGTTTAAACGCATCTTTTATGTTTTGAACGCGTTTTTTCAAATTAAAACGCAATTTAAAAACACTGTTTGAATGCATTTAGTTTTATGCGTTTGGACACGTTTGTTCGCTATGCATTCAAATGCGTTTTTAGCCTTCTTTTATTGAAAAACGTGTGCTTTTTGAAACGCGTTATAGCGTTGTTCCCTTCAGAGCTGCCACCAGGCTGGCCTGCCAGGCCATCGGAAAATTTGAAATTCAAATCTGAGTTGATCTGTTTACATTATATTGAAGTAGAATAGGAGACTAGCTCAGACTAGCATAATTGGCCCAATTCATCTTTTCGTTGTGTGAGAAACCTTTGCATCTATCATCAAATTTCTGTAAAAACCCATATTATAAAATATATTTCTGGCACAAAGAAAGGATGAATTGGGTCAATAATACTGGTCTG